CAGGTGACAAACAATAGTCTACCGGGTGACAAACACAATAGTCTACCGGGTGACAAACACAATAGGCTACCGGGTGACAAACAATAGTCTACCGGGTGACAAACACAATAGTCTACCGGGTGACAAACACAATAGTCTACCGGGTGACAAACACAATAGTCTACCGGGTGACAAACACAATAGTCTACCGGGTGACAAACACAATAGTCTACCGGGTGACAAACACAATAGTCTACCAGGTGACAAACAATAGTCTACCGGGTGACAAACACAATAGTCTACCGGGTGACAAACAATAGTCTACCGGGTGACAAACACAATAGTCTACCAGGTGACAAACAATAGTCTACCGGGTGACAAACAATAGTCTATCGGGTGACAAACACAATAGTCTACCGGGCGACAAACACAATAGTCTACCAGGTGACAAACAATAGTCTACCGGGTGACAAACAATAGTCTACCGGGTGACAAACACAATAGTCTACCGGGTGACAAACACAATAGGCTACCAGGTGACAAACAATAGTCTACCGGGTGACAAACACAATAGTCTACCGGGTGACAAACACAATAGTCTACCGGGTGACAAACACAATAGTCTACCAGGTGACAAACAATAGTCTACCGGGTGACAAACACAATAGTCTACCGGGTGACAAACAATAGTCTACCGGGTGACAAACAATAGTCTACCGGGTGACAAACACAATAGTCTACCAGGTGACAAACAATAGTCTACCGGGTGACAAACACAATAGTCTATCGGGTGACAAACACAATAGTCTACCAGGTGACAAACAATAGTCTACCGGGTGACAAACACAATAGTCTACCGGGTGACAAACAATAGTCTACCGGGTGACAAACACAATAGTCTACCGGGTGACAAACAATAGTCTACCGGGTGACAAACACAATAGTCTACCGGAGTGACAAACACAATAGTCTACCGGGCGACAAACAATAGTCTACCGGGTGACAAACAATAGTCTACCGGGCGACAAACACAATAGTCTACCGGGCGACAAACACAATAGTCTACCGGGCGACAAACACAATAGTCTACCGGGTGACAAACAATAGTTTACCAGGTGACAAACACAATAGTCTACCGGGTGACAAACAATAGTCTACCGGGCGACAAACACAATAGTCTACCGGGTGACAAACAATAGTCTACCGGGTGACAAACACAATAGTCTACCAGAGCCCAGGCTGTAGAAGTACAACTCTCGAAATCATTAACAGGTAAAATCACACCTAAATACTGCATGTCACTATAATTTTCAAAAGTCTTACAATTACAATATAATATGATTAAGTAATGGGACAAGTAATAGGCGGTGCCTGTCATTATGTTAATAATGTTATATTATGAGTAGATATTTAGCAATAAAAAGTTAAGCCGTGTTCACAACTAATTGTATTCACCTAGTTGTGCTTGCGGGGGTTGAGCTTCGGCTCTTTGGTCCCGCCTCTCAACTGTCAATCAACTGGTGTTTAGGTTCCCGAGCCTATTGGGCTCTATCATATCTATATTTGAAATTGTGTATGGAGTCTGCCTCCACAGCACTGCCTAATGCATTCCATTTGTGTGTATGTACGAGCTCCATGCAAAACAAGATATATCAAGGAACATATAAAATAGAACAAAGATAAAATTATAAGTATGACAAACTGAAGAATAAATCACCGTGATTAAATCTTTAATTGTTGTATAAATCGAGACCACCACCACTACAGCACGTGGAAATCCCAGAGCCAAGGTAATTGCCATAGTCCCACGAGCAATTATTCCCACACACACACTCAAGGGAATTTTACACTTTTCCTGTATCTTAGAGAAAAATTAATTCAGTATGCCGTAGCCCTTCAGTGTGTAAATACAATTGTCACCTGCTGGTATGTCCAGAAAGTATAATCTATCATACTAGTGTTTAGATCAAAAGCAGATCCCCATAAATACACAAGCAAAGGGAAAACGAACATGCTAAAAAAAGAATATTTAAATAAGTGATCTGCATAGCCTATCCAAAGCGACATTATCCATAGGCCGTTGTCACAGAGCCAACCATCGTCACAGACAACGCCTCAACACCAACAGCAATTAACTCATACTTAAGTCAATAATTATTAAGCACTTATTGCTATAGACTTTTAAAAATGCAATAATTGTTAAATCTCACATCTTCAATGACTAACAATCATGTTATGCAATTATTCACATTTTCTCAATCTGGAAATTCCAGATAATGAAAAAATCCAGAATTGCCGAAAACACTCTTTTGACTGCTTTATTAATAATAATAATAATATATTTAATATACAAAGGATTATATTATAGTGGATATTTTTGAACACCGCCTCACTATGCAAAAAGCACAATATTTGCATATTTTATATAATCAAGAATTGTACACAGCAGGTCAAGTCATTTTTAACAAGGACAGTCCCACCTTCCTCAAGAGAGCAGACATTCTGACACTGACAAACACTCCTTCAGACGAGAGAGAAACACGTGAGGCTGCCTACCTGTTGTTGGTATATGTCAACAGATAAACAGCAAAATCAAAATCCATAACACCGAGGAGATCACACAAATGCACAAACACTGATTAACAACACTAAAAGAAAGCAGAGCATCAAAAGAAATTAACCGAAAGATCAGGAACTGTTAACTGCCAAAGAACAGAACCAAACCACAGCGCAGTGGTGTTAAACCAGGAAAAAAAATATCCACGATTTTAGAATCTGCCGATATAGATGTATGAAAACACAAGTTATCAGGAAAGTTTAATAAAAACATGTACATAGAATTACAACAAAAGGAAATGTAGAACAATTGTAAATACTGGCTAATGTTGTACACCCCCCCCCTCTCCCACCCAAAACTGTTTAACAGCTCACTTAAATGAGAGAAAATGCCCGGAAGAGCCAGTCCAGCATTTCATACCAAACGGACCAGGGGAATAAAACTCGCAGTGATCACCAGAAATGCCTATAAAGGCCTGCCTGTCAGAGTTGGCACTCGTACTAAACCAAACTATTAAAAACGCCGCGCTTCGAGAGCTGTCAGAGTGTACGACATCCTGCCAGTGTACGACACCCTGTCAGAATGTACGACACCCTGCCAGAGTGTACGACATCCTGCCAGTGTGTACGACACCCTGCCAGTGTGTACGACACCCTGCCAGTGTGTACGACACCCTGCCAGTGTGTACGACACCCTGCCAGTGTGTACGACACCCTGCCAGTGTGTACGACACCCTGCCAGTGTGTACGACACCCTGCCAGTGTGTACGACACCCTGCCAGTGTGTACGACACTCTGCCAGTGTGTACGACACTCTGCCAGTGTGTACGACACTCTGCCAGTGTGCATGACACCCTGCCAGTGTGCATGACACCCTGCCAGTGTGTACGACACTCTGCCAGTGTGTACGACACGCTGCCAGTGTGCATGACACCCTGCCAGTGTGTACGACACGCTGCCAGTGTGTACGACACCCTGCCAGTGTGTACGACACCCTGCCAGTGTGTACGACACGCTGCCAGTGTGCATGACACCCTGCCAGTGTGCATGACACGCTGCCAGTGTGTACGACACGCTGCCAGTGTGCATGACACCCTGCCAGTGTGCACGACACCCCGCCAGTGTGCACGACACCCCGCCAGTGTGCACGACACCCCGCCAGTGTGCACGACACCCCGCCAGTGTGCACGACACCCCGCCAGTGTGCACGACACCCCGCCAGTGTGCACGACACCCCGCCAGTGTGCACGACACCCCGCCAGTGTGCACGACAACCCGCCAGTGCGCACGACACCCCGCCAGTGCGCACGACACCCCGCCAGTGCGCACGACACCCTGCCAGTGTGTACGACACCCTGCCTGAGGGGATGGGGGGCCAGGAAGCCTTTTCACCCCCCTAGCCAACGACTGCCCAGCCCTCAGAATGCGACCCACAACAGTCGGTTAACTCCCAGGAACGTGGGCGAATATTGGCATCAAGGTGTGAGATAATTTGCCCAAACGTCTCTCGCCCTGCCCGAGCACCCAGAGCCATTCGCTTGTGAAATGACTGGCGAGTGGTTAGGGTTAAGCCGCAGAGTAGCGAGGGTCGGGGACGGTTGGGGATGGGAGGGACAGAGAGGGACAGGGATGTAAAGAGACAGAAAAGAGGAAATTAATCCTCCTTCACCCCAAGGCGCTCTCTCAAACCACTTGACACACACACGGAACAAATCAATCGCCAGTTCCGATCAATTCACCGCGCACACAGCCTCCCAGGGGAGAAAAATTTGGCTGCAAGAAGGCATGAATTCTAAATTTCTTGACGCCTCTAAATTTCTTGACGCCTCTAAATTTCTTGACGCCTCTAAATTTCTTGACGCCTCTAAATTTCTTGACGCCTCTAAATTTCTTGACGCCTCTAAATTTCTTGACGCCTCTGATTCCCCCTCAAGATCCACCGACACAGATCCCTAGCCTCGTGATCAAGCAGGCAAGGCAGGGTGGCTAACGTCAACGTAATAAATACAATTTTCAACTTAACAGAACTTTCAAAATTCGCACTAATGTTATCCTAATATTAATATTAAATTTTTATATTTAAAATAATTGTAGAAACGTAAGACCGGGGGGAGTGGTCAGGTGTGTGGGGTGGGGTGGGATCAAGTGTGTGGGGTGGGGTGGGGTCAGGTGTGTGGGGTGGGGTCAGGTGTGTGGGGTGGGGTCAGGTGTGTGGGGTGGGGTCAGGTGTGTGGGGTGGGTCAGGTGTGTGGGGTGGGGTGGGATCAAGTGTGTGGGGTGGGGTGGGGTCAGGTGTGTGGGGTGGGGTCAGGTGTGTGGGGTGGGGTCAGGTGTGTGGGGTGGGGTGGGGTCAGGTGTGTGGGGGAGTGAACATCCTCCTGCGGGTGGCTCAGCCTCATGTATAATGTTCATCATAATTTGCGTTGTGTGGGAGGGGTAATAGGAGGCACCCGACCACTGCTTCTCTATACTTGTTTACTGACAGTCGTTAATCCTGGGGGGGCCGCCTCGCGGAGGGCAGGGGGCGCCTCGCGGAGGGCAGGGGGCGCCTCGCGGAGGGCAGGGGGCGCCTCGCGGAGGGCAGGGGGCGCCTCGCGGTGGGCAGGGGGCGCCTCGCGGAGGGCAGGGGGCGCCTCGCGGAGGGCAGGGGGCGCCTCGCGGAGGGCAGGGGGCGCCTCGCGGAGGGCAGGGGGCGCCTCGCGGAGGGCAGGGGGCGCCTCGCGGAGGGCAGGGGGCGCCTCGCGGAGGGCAGGGGGCGCCTCGCGGAGGGCAGGGGGCGCCTCGCGGAGGGCAGGGGGCGCCTCGCGGAGGGCAGGGGGCGCCTCGCGGAGGGCAGGGGGCGCCTCGCGGAGGGCAGGGGGCGCCTCGCGGAGGGCAGGGGGCGCCTCGCGGAGGGCAGGGGGCGCCTCGCGGAGGGCAGGGGGCGCCTCGCGGAGGGCAGGGGGCGCCTCGCGGAGGGCAGGGGGCGCCTCGCGGAGGGCAGGGGGCGCCTCGCGGAGGGCAGGGGGCGCCTCGCGGAGGGCAGGGGGCGCCTCGCGGAGGGCAGGGGGCGCCTCGCGGAGGGCAGGAGGGAATGTCCTTGTATAAAAAAAATTAGGAATGACCATTGTAGAGAAGAGGGAATGGTAGAGGAGGAGGAGGGAAGGGCCATGTAGAGGAGGAGGAGGGAAGGGCCATGTAGAGGAGGAGGAGGGAAGGGCCATGTAGAGGAGGAGGAGGGAAGGGCCATGTAGAGGAGGAGGAGGGAAGGGCCATGCAGAGGAGGAGGAGGGAAGGGCCATGCAGAGGAGGAGGAGGGAAGGGCCATGCAGAGGAGGAGGAGGGAAGGGCCATGTAGAGGAGGAGGAGGAGTAGGGAAGGGCCATGTAGAGGAGGAGGAGGGAAGGGCCATGTAGAGGAGGAGGGAAGGGCCATGTAGAGGAGGAGGAGGAGTAGGGAAGGGCCGTGCAAAGGAGGAGGAGGGAAGGGCCATGTAGAGGAGGAGGAGTAGGGAAGGGCCATGTAGAGGAGGAGGAGGGAAGGGCCATGCAGAGGAGGAGTAGGGAAGGGCCATGCAGAGGAGGAGGGAAGGGCCATGTAGAGGAGGAGGAGGAGTAGGGAAGGGCCATGTAGAGGAGGAGTAGGGAAGGGCCATGTAGAGGAGGAGTAGGGAAGGGCCATGTAGAGGAGGAGTAGGGAAGGGCCATGTAGAGGAGGAGTAGGGAAGGGCCATGTAGAGGAGGAGGAGGGAAGGGCTTGGCCCTTATGGAGGGAAGCGCCATGTAGAGGAAATGAGGGGAGTGGCCCAGAGAAGGGAAGAAGATCCACAAGAGCCGCTTCACAGGTCAGAAACCTATCACAGTTAAGAGTCAGATGAAGCGCCTGAAAGGTCCGTGAGGGGGGGGGGCATAGACCTACCTACCCCCGGGGCCCCTCACGTGTGGGGGCCCCCAATGCGGAAACTTTTATTGAAAACAATCTCGAGGGCCCGTAAAGCGGTGTTTATAAACTTGGTCGAATGTCCCTCGGCGGTGTGGTCTTAGGGTGGGCCCAGGCCGCTCAAAATAGCCCTTTCAGTCGCAGTGCCCAACCTGCCCTCTTCGGCCCAATATAATAATATCCCTTTTGCCTTTTACGATACATCTACGACAGCTAATTCGTGCCCCCTCAGCCCCCTTTATCGTTGGGTCAGTGTAAAAGCATCGTCATGTGGCGGCACGGGATTGGTTGTTTAAATTGGCGGGAGAATTGGTGATTTGCGCGGGTAAATGTGGCAACTGCTGGCACTCTGGCACTGCTGGTATGGTAGTTGAGGGTGATCTTTTGAGAGGTGCCATCACACGCTCAAGTTATGCCATTAACTCAACCGGTCAATACATTCCTACTGTGTTATATTAACCGATATAATACTAATTATATTTTTGGCTCGATCACAAAAACGTCAAGTTGTAAATTGATGTGTGTAGGGGGGGGGGGGTGTCTATTCACTTACCTGATTCGACGATGTGAAGGCTGTATCCATTGCTGAGGATATAGAGGAATAAAAATAACCCTTTCCAAGTTGCCATAATGGTTGTCATGTTGGGGACACTTAAGTGATAACGCTTCACAACACCATGATCACACACCACGATCCTTCACTGACGGGACACACAGCCATACTACCCCGACCTGAGTCCCGCGCCTCGCTGCCGGCTAGAGTAACCCCGCTCAACTTCTCCTACCGCACCACCTTCCACAAATACCATTATCACCAGACCACAAAATAATTGTATCGTGTACAAAAAAAATATACAAAAAAACTGGCATGGAAAATATATGAAATAAAATGTAATATATAATACATACCTTAGGAACGAGAACGTATACATCATACGTGAGGCAGCGCAACTCATGTTATATTGGATGGTCACTTCTGTGTAGCCTCACATGTGTAAATTTCAGGACTAATATCTTACCTCAAATGGAAAGCTTGGAATAACTAACGATGTAATTCCTAACCTAGCACCATAAATCTCCATGACAGTAAGGCTTTAATTGGCACATATGACTGCCAGAGGATTTCCCACCCTGTCGCCCCTGAAACACGACTTTAAAACGATGATTCTTGTGTCTTAAACACCAATGAATACTATTGTAAACTCCACGAGAACGTACAATTACCACGTCTTAATGGTCGTCATACTCAAGCTTATGATTTACGATATTGGGACGTCGTACGGAATTGCTTAATGTGTCGTCACGTGGCATTCTTAGTTCGGGAACGATACAATGAGGAAGGATTTAGAACTTTATTACTCGGGGAGGAAGGTTTGGTGGCGGGCGGACACTGCCATCCTTGTTGCCTAGTGTCTGAAGATGTCTGGCGTCTTGTGTAAGGTGACAGTAAGATGTGCTGTCTTACCTAGCGGTCCCTCTTGCCCTTTTCTTTATTTCTCTCTTCCTCTCTCTCTCTCTCACTACATAGCCTTCCCGGTTTGGTGTCTTCTTTTGATAATTATCTTCTCTCTCTCTCTCTCTATCTCTATCTCTGTCTCTCTGTCTCTCTGTCTCTGTCTCTGTCTCTGTCTCTCTCTCTGTCTCTCTCTCTGTCTCTCTCTCTCTCTCTCTCTCTCTCTCTCTCTCTCTCTCTCTCTCTCTCTCTCTCTCTCTCTCTCTCTCTCTCTCTCTCTCTCTCTCTCTCTCTCTCTCTCTCTCACACACACTGAGACAAGGGTTTAGTAGAAATATTGATATTCCTTGCGAAACTGCAAGCAAAAGCTGTTACCCTATATAACCTCATCTGAAGCCTAACCCTAGAAACTCATATATTTGATGAAATTATCATGTTACCCTTTAGGTATAAACTAACTTGGCGTAGGACTGAATGTTGTCCTAGAACTTGAGCCATAATAAACATCTTAATTTTTTTTTATCTAAGTAAAAAAACTATTCACACGACCTTTCAAACACTGTTTATCATCAGCTCCAAACCACCTCCAAACCACAAACCTCCAAACCACCAAACACAATTAAGCAATAATTGTTAAAATACCAAGTTTAAGTTAAAACACATTCCAAATCAAATTAATATAAAAAACATCACTAGTAGAAATGAACAGTAAAAAATAATTGATAATTACTAAAAAAAAAAATTACCAGACGTTACAAATTGACACTTGGCTATACCAACAGGAACAAAAGAATTCTTCTTACATAACGCTCAAGGAAAATTACAATCACTTATTTCAAAATATACAAACAAAAGCACAACGATACTGGGCATTTATGGAAAACTACAAAATAAATTTCATAATATCTGTAACCCAACATTTAACATTTCAAAGTCAATTATTACAATAAATAACTAATGTACTCTTAAGTTTCTAAGAAGAATAAATATTACTATATACAGTAGCAAAATATAACTAAAAAAATGGTTCAATATAAACAAAACTAAGTTGACCAGACCACACACTAGAAGTTGAAGGGACGACGACGTTTCGGTCCGTCCTGGACCATTCTCAAGTCATTGACTTGAGAATGGTCCAGGACGGACCGAAACGTCGTCGTCCCTTCAACTTCTAGTGTGTGGTCTGGTCAACATACTTCAGCCACGTTATTGTGACTCATCGCCTGCGTAAACAAAACTAACTTTGTAAAAATAGGAAACAAAAGAAATTGGCGTAAATCGTATCTCAATAAAGTTATACAGCCTAAATATTCTTTATTGACGTCTGCAGCCTAATTTTGAGGTTCCTGATGGAACTTACCAATGTATCTATAATAACACCAAGAACAGGTGACCGACTATACTATATTGGAACGTAGCTGCGAGTAATGTCCTTATTTATAAATAAAGAGCCTGTGGTATACAAATTAATAATGATAATTTTAAAATTTACCCGAGATTTTCTTGAAACAATTTACTCAGTTGTTTTCTTATAGTATAACTCACACAGCCATATATGGAAATATAATCGCAATGGCGTGATATGTCTGTGATTTGTTATACAATATACTTTGAAACAACATATGCTGGAACTTAGTTAACATTAGCAACTGTACCGGAGCAAATACATTGTTTAGTAAAACTATTTTGCAATTTATATACGTAAACTCTTTGCTATACAATCACGGCGCCTTCACTCAATTATGTACCGGAGAGCATTCAATCATTTCTATCAAGTTTCTATTCAACTCGAAATATGCTGGAGAAACTGTCTCTTAACACGAGGCTTTGGCAATAGGATTGGATGTAATCTGGAGCTTTTGATATGCAAATAACCAGCGGTACTGCTTCCTTTCTCCCCCTCCATGCCTGAGCAATTGTCTGCCGCCAAATGTGACAGTTTTTTGACGAGTTTTGATTGACAACAAATATGGTTTTATGAGCGGAAACTTATCACTATTTTTTGTACAAAATAATTTGCTATTACAACAAATTACAGTACAATACGAGGCTTCATAAATACCTCGTTCTCTTCGAACATATATACATTTAAATTAGAATTTATTATAATCATCAAGTTGTTGTATTTTTATTTAGCATAGGTATTGTAGTTCTTAACAAGAGAGTGACACTGTATGTGGCAAACAACAGTATCACCCTTTAAGAGGAATTTGAGGAACTCAAATTCGTTTTATCAGGCGTCGTCAGAGTTGGGCCCAGTACCTGTGGAAAAGGGGGGGACAAACTCGCCTTCAGGAACGCAGGTTAAAAAATTTAATAGTAGCAACATGGTATGATTAAGGCAGCGTCTGGGATCCTCTCGGACGTAGATTCGAACCCTCGTCACGGCCCTTGTGGATTTGTTCAGTAGCAACATGGCTTAACTGGACAACGATCACAGGCTATAAATTTCATCTTTTTTCACAAAACTAAATGAAGTATTGGAACTTTAGAGATACTGGGGGGGGTCCAGGACCCCCAGCATATATCTAAGTGAGTCCCCGCTTAACAATAAACGTCCAAACCCAACCAACCTTCCTAACCTCTCGGAACCAATGCATGGAAAACGTCATTAATACGTCACAGTCTTAGCAGATGTGGGTTAAAACCGTACGAAATGCGACGCATTACACCAGACGAGAGGTTATAGAGGAGTGTGAGCGTTCAATCACTATTGTTGCCTCTTTTAGTCTCAGA